AAATTTGGTTTCAGGGTTTATATAAGTAAGTTACACTGTGTGATTGATTTTCAGATTCATCACTCAACGACTTCTTGTTTACCGAACACTTGTATTATTTTACACATGATAGCCAAGTTGAAAATTTTCGTCACATTTTTCTCAGGAACTACTAGACAAGGATTTCTTAAATTTTGTTTCAGGGTTTATATAAGTATGTTACACTGTGTGATGCATTTTCAGATTCATCACTCAACGACTTCTTGTTTACGGAACACTTGTATTATTTTACACATGATAGCCAAGTTGAAAATTTTCGTCGCATTTTTCTCAGGAACTGCTTGACAAGGACTTCTGAAATTTGGTTTCAGGGTTTATATAAGTAAGTTACACCGTGTGATGCAATTTCAGATTCATTACTTAACAACTTCCTGTTTACCGGACACTTGTATTATTTTAGACATGATAGCCAAGTTGAAAATTTTCGTCACATTTTTCTCAGGAACTACTTGACAAGGATTTCTGAAATTCGGTTTCAGGGTTTATATAAGTCAGCTTTACCGTGTGATGCGTTTTCAAATTTATCACTCAACAACTTCCTGTTTACCGAAATATTACGGCGGGGGTATCATCAGTGAGCAGTAGCTCACAGTTTTACTTGTATTTGGAATGTAAGAAACTCTTTGAATGGTTTAGATAAATGTTCCTATCAAGTCAGATGAGAGTTAAGTCTTATTTTAGTGTGGGTGCACTGCACTGCACTTCAACAAAATCAAACAGAACTTTTCTTATTTAATCCTCTGAAAAATCTGATTGCAATTATATTTGCTGTATTTAAATAAAATTGAGAATGGGGAATATGTCAAAGAGACAACAACCCAAACAAAGAGCAGATAACAGCCGAAGCCTTTTTTCTGTACTAAAAAGGGTAAATATGCTAGATTTACTGATGAAATGGTTAAAGCTGTTAATTTCTCCTGACATTCTATGTTTCGACAATAAAGTTTATGGACAAGTTGTAGGAACTCCTATGGACACCAATTGTGCCCTAGGATGTTCCTTTATTAATCTTAACCATTAGACCACAGAGACTGTCGAAAACCATTAAGTGAAGGAATCAAAATAATGTGAAGGGATATTCAAATACATTGACAAATCTCAAGAATGAGATAGCAATATACATACCTGTATTACCTGTAGTGTCCACTTGTGTCCACTACAAATATTTTGTCAGCAAAAAAACTGTTCAAAAGGTTCATTTTGGCTATTGTCATCACTTGGTGTCTGTCATCATAATAAACTTGTTAAAAAGTCCCAGAAAGCACTGGACCAAGTTCAAACATACATATACTGAATGATCCCCAGGGTATCTACTCTAGTATAAAGTTTTTTTTCCACCAACCAGAGAACTTGGCCACCATGTGGGGCTTATAATAGAATGCAATAGTAAAATGCAGGTAATTGTTTAATATCTTGATATAGATAGATAGCGTCGGAAAGAAATGCCCATAATTTCAATGTGAAGATCTACTTACTGTAATTTGTATGACTGCTTATGGAAGTTACTGCCTCTGAATATTACAAGTTGTATGACCCAACTCGACTGGAGTATGGGACATTATGTTTTCTCGTCTATGCATCCATCCCTCGGTAATCTTTCGTCCCATATCAGGTTAGAGCATATGTTTCATTGGATTTTGACCCAGATTACGTGGTTGACTAAACAGGGATATCTGATTGTATAATCAGCACATTTTCATGTTAGAGATTTGGTTTAAGGTAATTTTCCATGAAGTCATGGTCACATCAACTTGAAATATAGTACACATTTTCATTATGATGTGACCTTTATAAAATATATGCCAAATTAGATTTCATGGTTCACTGAAAATGGAATGTGATAGTGTGTATAGTGCATGGTGTCCCAAGGGTTTTACCAATTTTAGTCAAATATCTTGAAAACGCAATAAATATAGAAAACCTGACTGGTGAAAATGCTCAGCCAATCAAAATCTACTCTCATATCACTTCTATCTACATTATCAGACAACTCATTATAGGATTATTGCTCATAAATGACGATTTTGTTTCTAATTTATGGGTCTTCCAATTACAAATGTATCTTGAAAACCATAATAGATAGACCAAATTTATTTACCGTAAAACTGATCTGAAATACAAGATCTACAAAAATTCCCATGTGAATTAAACCATCAAATAACTCTTACAGTATATCTGTTATTAATGCATTTAATGACTTTTTTGTCCAATTTTTGCATAAATACATTGAAAAATATAGTCAATTATGAGGAAACTGAACAACGAAAATGTTAGCCAATATAAGATTTACAAAAACTTTTAAAATCTAAAATAGATATGTTTTACCTATCATTTTATGAACTATATAAGATAGATAGAAACTGGTGTAAATACCATAAATTGTCAGTAATACTATTACTTACATAGTGTGCTAGTGACCTAATATGATATATATGGGGTCAGTAAATTCCATATGGAGAGAGAGCGAAGCTGGAACGATATATATGGGGTCAGTAAATTAACTGACCCCATATATATTGTATTAGGTCACTAACTAAGCATGCTGTGTAACAAATTTATCTTACTAACTATCTTAACATTTAGACTAGTGGTCTATCAAAGTGATCAAGTCTTCAATATAAAGAACCTACTTCTTTTGGTGTATATAAAAACAAATGCCAACAATAACAACTTGTTAGCTTTTAATGTGTTTTCTGCATTTATTTCAATCGTTCATCATCAATTTCTTCGTAGGTTGAAATCTTTCAAATTTTTCCTCAACACCATGTTGTTTTTACAAAGGGACGTAACACCACTACTAACACTGTATTGAAATAAACCACGCCTACATATGAAATATAAACAGTCTCCCCGCAGTTGCTTTTAACCAATCATATTCCTAGAAATGTATAGGAGGTATGATAAAAGATCTTATTAGACTACTTAATGAATATGCCTGAAACCATCAATTTACTCTTTTTAAAAGTTATTGCCCTTGTATTATAATTTTTCGCCAATTTCACCTTTTTAGTCTTTTATCTCAAAAACTATAGATATTATAAACAGAGACTGTAAGACAGTAAATATGCCAATATTACTGAAACTTGTCATTGACCACTTATATGAGTTATTGCCTTTTAAATCCCATTTTGTACTAATTTGAGCAGTTTTGCCTCTTAGCAAAAATTAATACCAATAACAGATCAGTAAAAGTGCCAAGTTTAGGTTAATATTTGTCTGCAAAGTGGGATATCATCAATATTACTTTTAATGTTGCCCTTGTTGGTCAAACATTTATATTGTTGGTGCTAATTTATATTGTTGGTCAAAATTTATATTGTTGATCAAACGTTCACATTGTTGTCAAACGTTTATATTGTTGGTCAAACGTTCATATTGTTGGTCAGATGTTTATATTGTTGGTCAAACGTTAATACTATAGTTAGTATATTGTTGGTGAAACGTTAATACTATAGTATATTGTTGGTCAAACGTTAATACTATAGTATATTGTTGGCCAAACGTTAATACTATATAATATTGTTGGTCAAATTAATACTATAGTATATTGTTGGTCAAACATTTATATCGTTTACACTTAATAATTTTTCTTATTCAAATGAAACCAGCTTTACAAATTGTAACTGTAGATTATTTCAGCCATTTGTATTACTGAAAGGCTGTGAAAGTTTAAACATTGCTAAGAATACTGAGTGACTATGGAAGTTTAAACATTGCTAAGAATACTGAGTGACTATGGAAGTTTAAACATTGCTAAGAATACTGAGTGACTATGGAAGTTTAAACATTGCTAAGAATACTGAGTGACTATGGAAGTTCAAACATTGCTAAGAATACTGAGTGACTATGGAAGTTCAAACATTGCTAAGAATACTGAGTGACTATGGAAGTTCAAACATTGCTAAGAATACTGAGTGACTATGGAAGTTCAAACATTGCTAAGAAACAAGGGAATATGGGTAAATGTACATATACAAAATTACAATAATATGATGAGAAATAATTATATATCAAAGGAAACAAGTTTCATCTCCATAGATACTGGAGAATGTCAGTAGAAAGTTAAGCTATAGAGGAGTTACTTTCTGCAAATTATCACTTTGGCCCTTGCATCATTATAAGTGGTTCTACCTATAAATATACTCACCGATAATTGTTTAAAAAATATAGATTCTTCAAGGTAATGAACTTAATACGAAAAAGGAAGGTAGAACTGAGAGGTCTTCCTACATTCAATGTCATAAGATAAAGTTTTGATCCCACACTGATATTTTGATGAAATATTACAAGCTATTTTTTACTTGATCAATTTAGATATGTAATATGAAATTTTATATATTTACTCCTTTGGGCAGATACAACTAACTTTTTTTGTTTCAAATGATAAACACTAGCATTTTTTTTTTTAAACATTTGGAATTTCTTACATTAGTATGCTTTGAGTTTGATTACAATTCTATGGAAATAATTCATTTTTATTTAATTTTCATGATTTAAAAAAGGAAATGACATATTTTGCTGTAATTAACAAAATTATTAAAATCCTCTGTAATTTTTTTCATAAAATGATATAAATAATCTTCCTACATAAGAACTAAACAAAGTGTCATTTAAAAAAACAGCAGTTCAAGTACTGGTTTTTAATCTAATATATTAAGAGGACCCCCTCTCTCTGTATCCACCACAGGCAATGCAACACCTGATTAGGTATAATAAGGAGCAATGCAGATAAGACCCTTCAATTTTGATGTCACGAAAAAATAACATTAAACTTAAGATACATTATTACTTCCCTTGTAAATGTATCTTATACCCTTAATGTTATTCATTGTTCAACAACATAAAAGTATTATACAATATAAATATTAAAACATCCAAAGTTCACTAATATTTTTGAAGTAGCAGGTTGTTAAATATATAAAACTGGTACTTTTGCAAATTTGTTATTTTTCTATTTACAGTTAGCCAAAGTCCGAAGACCAGGAGAAAAAAACTGAATGCTCGCATGAAAAGCTTTTCATTAGATGCCCCTGAACCCTCAAAACATCTACTTGCCATAGATGAAACCACCAAGAAGAAAAGTAGTTCATTTACTAACACATGTTTACGAGGTGAACTTTTAATTATCCATGACATTTCATTTTACATAATTATGTTTGCATGAAATCATAGTTTTACAGGAATAATTCCTACATCTTAAATGGTGCATAGATTTTTTCATTAATTTTAGTCTATAAAAATCTTTAAAATGAAATCAAGGTCAGAATGACAATTTTCCAATCTTTTCTTCCATTTATTCCTGGATTGATTTTTTTATTTGCATTTACCGGGGGTACTTACATTTACTTACATTAATAAATCCCTCCTTTGCTTGAGTATGATTTAGCATAACAGACTAGCTTTTACTTATATAAATAAATGCATCTTTAACATGAGTTATAGCATGATGTAACAACAAGACTTTACTAACAAACATCTTATTGTACAGGTTCAAGAAGTCCTGATGACAAATATGCCCTTTCTGCAACAAATTTGCGTAAAAAATTTGCTTCATCAGCAAAAGCCAGTTCGCTAGACATCGAGAGTGGAGGCATGTCCCCATCACCTAAAGAATCTCCGGTGAGTGTAGATGTGTCTCTAGATGTATCTCTGGTACTCAGGATTCATTATAATTTGTGAGATACCATTATTTTGGTTGATTTCTTGGGTAAAGGTGAACTACAAATCTAAATGTTCAACAAAGTACAAATCTAAATGTCCAATAAAGTACAAATTTAATGTTCAACAAAGTACAAATTTAATGTTCAACAAAGTACAAATCTAAATGTCCAACAAAGTACAAATCTAAATGTCCAACAAAGTACAAATCTAAATGTTCAACAAAGTACAAATCTAAATGTCCAACAAAGTACAAATTTAATGTTCAACAAAGTACAAATCTAAATGTTCAACAAAGTACAAATCTAAATGTTCAACAAAGTACAAATCTAAATGTCCAACAAAGTACAAATTTAATGTTCAACAAAGTACAAATTTAATGTTCAACAAAGAACAAATCTAAATGTTCAACAAAGTACAAATTTAATGTTCAACAAAGTACAAATCTAAATGTTCAACAAAGTACAAATTTAATGTTCAACAAAGTACAAATCTAATGTCCAACAAAGTACAAATCTAAATGTTCAACAAAATACAAATCTAATGTCCAACAAAATACAAATCTAATGTCCAACAAAGTACAAATCTAAATGTTCAACAAAATACAAATCTAATGTCCAACAAAATACAAATCTAATGTCCAACAAAGTACAAATCTAATGTTCAACAATATACAAATCTAATGTTCAACAAAGTATAAATCTAATGCTCAACAAAGTACAAATCTAATGTCCAACAAAGTATAAATCTAATGTTCAACAAAGTACAAATCTAAATGTTCAACAAAGTACAAATCTAATGTCCAACAAAGTACAAATCTAAATGTTCAACAAAGTACACATTTAATGTTCAATAAAGTACAAATCTAAATGTTCAACAAAGTACAAATTTTCTATAGGCTTGTATGCAAACTTTAGCAAAACCAAGAAATCAAATGTACAGTAAAATGCAATTTCCCCTCAATTCATAAAAATTGGTACTGAGGAAATTAAATGAATTCACAGTAAGTGTAGATCTTTCTCCTCCACCTACATAATCTCTGGTAAGTGTAGATGTATCTCCATCACCTACAGAATGTTGATGTGAATGTAGATGTGTCTCCTTCACCTACAAAATATCTGGGACCTGTAGATGTGTCTCCTTCACCTACAGATTCTCTGGAACCTGAAGATGTGTCTCCATCACCTACAGATTCTCTGGTAATTGCAGATGTGTCTCATTCACCTATAGATTCTCTGGTAAGTGTAGATGTGTCCCCATCACCTAAAGAATCTCTGATAAGTGTAGATGTGTCTCCATCACCTAAAGAATATCTGGTAAGTGTAGATGTGTCTTCATCACCTACAGATTATCAGGTAATTGTAGATGTGTCTCCATCACCTACAGAATCTCTGATAAGTGTAGATGTGTCTCCATCACCTAAAGAATCTCTGGTAATTGTAGATGTGTCTCCATCACCTACAGAATCTCTGATAAGTGTAGATGTGTCTCCATCACCTAAAGAATCTCTGGTAATTGTAGATGTGTCTCCATCACCTACAGAATCTCTGATAAGTGTAGATGTGTCTCCATCACCTAAAGAATCTCTGGTAATTGTAGATGTGTCTCCATCACCTACAGAATCTCTGATAAGTGTAGGTGTGTCTCCATCACCTAAAGAATCTCTGGTAATTGTAGATGTGTCCCCATCACCTAAAGAATCTCTGATAAGTGTAGATGTGTCTCCATCACCTAAAGAATATCTGGTAAGTGTAGATGTGTCTTCATCACCTACAGATTATCAGGTAATTGTAGATGTGTCTCCATCACCTACAGAATCTCTGATAAGTGTAGATGTGTCTCCATCACCTACAGAATCTCTGGTAATTGTAGATGTGTCTCCATCACCTAAAGAATCTCTGATAAGTGTAGATGTGTCTCCATCACCTAAAGAATATCTGGTAAGTGTAGATGTGTCTCCATCACCTACAGAATCTCTGATAAGTGTAGCTGTGTCTCCATCACCTAAAGAATCTCTGATAAGTGTAGATGTGTCTCCATCACCTAAAGAATATCTGGTAAGTGTAGATGTGTCTCCATCACCTAAAGAATCTCTGATAAGTGTAGATGTGTCTCCATCACCTAAAGAATCTCTGGTAATTGTAGATGTGTCTCCATCACCTACAGATTATCAGGTAATTGTAGATGTGTCTCCATCACCAAAAGAATATCTGGTAAGTGTAGATGTGTCTTCATCACCTACAGATTATCAGGTAATTGTAGATGTGTCTCCATCACCTACAGAATCTCTGATAAGTGTAGATGTGTCTCCATCACCTACAGAATCTCTGGTAATTGTAGATGTGTCTCCATCATCTAAAGAATCTCTGATAAGTGTAGATGTGTCTCCATCACCTAAAGAATATCTGGTAAGTGTAGATGTGTCTCCATCACCTACAGAATCTCTGATAAGTGTAGCTGTGTCTCCATCACCTAAAGAATCTCTGATAAGTGTAGATGTGTCTCCATCACCTAAAGAATATCTGGTAAGTGTAGATGTGTCTCCATCACCTAAAGAATCTCTGATAAGTGTAGATGTGTCTCCATCACCTAAAGAATCTCTGGTAATTGTAGATGTGTCTCCATCACCTACAGAATCTCTGATAAGTGTAGATGTGTCTCCATCACCTAAAGAATCTCTGGTAATTGTAGATGTGTCTCCATCACCTAAAGAATCTCTGATAAGTGTAGATGTGTCTCCATCACCTAAAGAATCTCTGGTAATTGTAGATGTGTCTCCATCACCTACAGAATCTCTGATAAGTGTAGATGTGTCTCCATCACCTAAAGAATCTCTGGTAATTGTAGATGTGTCCCTATCACCTAAAGAATCTCTAATAAGTGTAGATGTGTCTCCATCACCTAAAGAATATCTGGTAAGTGTAGATGTGTCTCCATCACCTACAGAATCTCTGATAAGTGTAGCTGTGTCTCCATCACCTAAAGAATCTCTGATAAGTGTAGATGTGTCTCCATCACCTACAGAATCTCTGGTAATTGTAGATGTGTCTCCATCACCTAAAGAATCTCTGATAAGTGTAGATGTGTCTCCATCACCTAAAGAATATCTGGTAAGTGTAGATGTGTCTTCATCACCTACAGATTATCAGGTAATTGTAGATGTGTCTCCATCACCAAAAGAATCTCTGGTAAGTGTAGCTGTGTCTCCATCACCTAAAGAATCTCTAGTAATTGTAGATGTGTCTCCTTCAACTACAGATTATCAGGTAATTGTAGATGTGTCTCCAGTGTTAATACTTTATCATTTTAAGTTCTGTCCTTTCACGTTTTTCATGTAATTTTTTTTTTAATTCCAGAAACCAAGTAGAAAAAACAAACAAGATAAAGACAAAGACAATTTGTATGTTGTGTTATATCATTTTAAAGGAAAAGAGAAAGATGACATGGATCTCAGGTTGTTATTATTATTGTTAGTCCAAATAAGTTTATATTTGTGTTTATATACTCCATTAATCATTTAGTCTTGTTTATGTAACAGCAAATTTGCACTTTGCCATTCATATGAACAAAAGGAGATATGGGGTATACATTAATGAGACAGCAACCCAGTATCACAAATAAACAAAAGACATAAAAATGGGGAGAAGATAACAAAGGAGTAATTAAATACAGTAAGTTGAAGAAAAACAGACAAAGCCATAAATAGACGTTAATTTAGGATTTTTTGAAAAATAAGATAAATTTGTGAACTCTTGTCACAGTTCATCTACCAGCCATTCAATTAAATTTGTCTAAATTTCAAAAGTTGTTAACTTGAGAACAGGTATTTTCAACAATTGTACCACTATCTTGTTTAAAAGCCATTTAAATCTTTTGAATAGCCAGTTTTTTTACAGCATATCTGTAATAGAATTACCAAGGTCTTATTTGCTATGTTATGGTTGGCTATGTTTTATGACATGCTTGTTAATGGGAAAAAACTATTATATTTTATTTATTGTAAAATAAGCTCCTGGGGTCCAAAGAGGGGCCTATTTAACACTGAGACTACTATTGTAATAGTCTCATGATGACATTTGAAGTGGTTATACAAGTTACGTTTAGCTTTGTTAGAAATAGCCTTTATAATCTTGATATTCTTTCAGAAAAGCATAGCCTAAACTAGGTAATTATGTATTGTTAAAATATATTTTCTTCATTGTTTCATAGGGCTGGATCAAAAGTACGTGTAACTGACAGTTCAGATCCTGATTGGTGGAAGGTAAGTTATAAGGCAAGGGAAGTAACTCATTGTTCTATTAGAAAAAAATCCCTGGTCCACCTTATAGTTGCAGACAATTCAAAAAGAAAAAAACCAAAGACCTAAACCTGCATTCAGTTTACTTTTATTAAATTTATTGAACAAACCATATTGTGATTATGCCAGAGATTATGTTGTTTATTTGGTTTTAAAAGTTTTTGAAAACATAGAAAATACTACCAAGAAAATATTAAAACAGTTTCTAAAATGCTAAGTACTTCTTAACAAGTTTAAGTATGATTTCATGCAGGGTAGGATGTAAGCATTTTGCAAAACCTGAACTGAGAAATGAGAGAAACAATTGATTAAAAAACTAATTCAAAGTTAACTTTTGTCATGTATGTTCTCGTATATGTTATTAATCTTTTTCTTTTCTTTTTTGGTTTTTATAAAATACATAACTTAAATTTTGCTCAAAATTGTCTACACTAAAAAGAATTGAGACCTTGGTGTAAGGTCATCAATGATACTAGACTTATAATTTGATACACTAGATGATTGTTTTGTCTTCATAAAATAGATATAAAAAGATGTGGTTTGAGTGACAATGAGACAACTCTTCATCCAAGTCACAATTTGTAAAAGTAAACCATTATAGGTCAAAGTACGGCCTTCAACACTGAGCCTTGGCTCACACCGAACAGCAAGCTATCAAGGGCCCCAAAAATGACTAGTGTAAAACAATTTATACAGGAAAACCAACGGTCTAATCTATATAAAAAATGAGAAACGAGAAACACTTATGAACCACATCAACAAACGACAACCACTGAACATCAGGTTCCTGACTTAGGACAGGTGCAAACAAATGCAGTGGGTTTAAACATTTTAATAGGCGCCAACCTTCAGCCTTATTAGTGGCACTTGAATCAAAACAGTTAGGAGGGCCAAATCAAATAGAACAAGAACAATAACATATTGTATTACCAATTAAGGGCCCTCAAGGGGCATATAGAGATTACATGTATAAGGAAAAAGAACAGTGATTAGCATAGATATATAGAATTTAAATACACAATCACGATACAATTAGACTGTAATAAAGCCGTGAATTTAAAGTATATAATATAGTTACATGAAAAATAAATAGATCTAACACATATTGACTTTAATAAATTTTTCAACAGCATTAAGGACCTGATTGTCTTCACAGCTTAATAAATAAATGAATTTTTGCTGATTGTCAAGTAAAGAAAAGTTTGGAATTTTTTGGCAAACAAAGTCAAAGAGAGCATCTCTATCAGAGTTAAATTTTTCACATGAAGTTAAAAAATGGATTTCATCTTCAACACAGCCAGAGGAGCATTTTTTGCAAATTCTTTCTATTTCGTGGAATATTTGAAAAACTGCCAAATTCAATTTGAAGCTTACGGGCAGATATACGTAATTTGCAAATAGCTCTTCTAAAATCAAAGTTCCTAACCAAAGAGAGATAATTTTCATAACCAAAATTTTGTTTAAATTTCAAATAATTGAACAATTTTCCATCAGAAGCATTTTTTTGGCTAACATACCAATTGTTAATATATTTAGTATGAATTAATTTGCTAGATATATTCAAAAATTTATATTGTCCAAAATGTTTTACTTCTTGTTTAATTTCAAAAACTTAATAACTTTTTAACAATGAGAACCTAGAAGTTATGTTAGATTTGTGAAGCTCTTGGCTACATTTAGAAGCATCTTTCAACAGACTGAATTCAGTCTGAAGATTTTCAAATCTATACAAGTATTTAACAATTGACTTTACAATATCATAATGTAGGGAGAAACGCCCCATTATTTAACAATTGACTTTACAATATCATAATGTAGGGGGAAACGCCCCATTATTTAACAATTGACTTTACAATATCATAATGTAGGGGGAAACGCCCCATTATTTAACAATTGACTTTACAATATCATAATGTAGGGGGAAACGCCCCATTATTTAACAATTGACTTTACAATATCATAATGTAGGGGGAAACGCCCCATTATTTAACAATTGACTTTACAATATCATAATGTAGGGGGAAACGCCCCATTACTTAACAATTGACTTTACAATATCATAATGTAGGGGGAAACGCCCCATTATTTAACAATTGACTTTACAATATCATAATGTAGGGAGAAACGCCCCATTATTTAACAATTGACTTTACAATATCATAATGTAGGGGGAAACGCCCCATTATTTAACAATTGACTTTACAATATCATAATGTAGGGGGAAACGCCCCATTATTTAACAATTGACTTTACAATATCATAATGTAGGGGGAAACGCCCCATTATTTAACAATTGACTTTACAATATCATAATGTAGGGGGAAACGCCCCATTATTTAACAATTGACTTTACAATATCATAATGTAGGGGGAAACGCCCCATTTCTGAAGAGCACTATAAACAGAAAGCACTGAAGACATTACATATGATATAAATAAAGGAAATGTCATGTATGATTGCCAATTCGACAACTATACACAAGAGACCAAAGGAACAAATGCTTTACTTCCTGATGTCTTTTAGGTTTTTTGTGTTGTTAGGTTGCAATCTCATTGATCCTATATCTATGTTTATTCCTATTGTAATTTATTTCCAGGGTAAATGTAATGGAAGGTCTGGTTATTTCCCAGCAAAATATGTAATCACTATACAGAAAAATCAAAAGGTGTACCAAGTAAACCATCCTATGCATCTAACTGATGGAGATGTCGACATGAAACTTCACAAAGATCAGGTAAAATTTATTCTTAATTTTGGGGGAAATAAGAAATAATATGTCATTTTTATGCCCCACCTACGATGGTAGTAGAGGCATTATGTTTTCTGGTCTGTGCGTCCGTTTGTTCATCCGTTCGTCCGTCTGTCTGTCGTGCTTCAGGTTAAAGTTTTTGGTCAAGGTAGTTTTTGATGAAGTTGAAGTCCAATCAACTAGAGACTTAATACATATGTTCCCTTTGATATGATCTTTTTAATTTTGATGCCAAATTAGAGTTTTGACCAGAATTTCAAGGTCTACTGAACATAGAAAATGATAGTGCGAGTGGGGCATCCGTGTACTATGGACACATTCTTGTTTGGCTGTTTTCCTGAATATAAAAAAAAGAAGATGTGCTATGATTGCCAATGAGACAAAGTATGACAGAACAGAGTGTTAAACTCCTACAATATTACAACATTTTGACTCAGCCCATTTCTGACATACTTTGAGGTTGTTCCTAAAAAAGAGGTGTTAGATACCAAGGGAATATTCAACATTATCCATTGAATAAAAACTGATGACGCCATGGCAAAAAACGAAAATCGACAAAAAGATTATCAAGTCCACAAAACACTGCATAGAAACTTAAAAATTATGCAGCATGAATTCCACCAAAGTCCAGCTGTGAACTCATGTGCTCTGAAAGGTAAGCATGCAGTTCCTGCTCCACACATGGCATGCCAGTACAAATCAGATGATAAATCTCACTGGGTGATGTCACAATCAAGGTGTCACAGATCTTCTAAGAGATGAACTGCTAATTTTGCTGTTTTTATCCTGCTTTTTTTTCTGGAAATCAAACTCTTTAAACATGCAATTTTAAATGTAATTGGTTTTATCTTTTTTACTGTATGATTTCTATCAAATTTTTTTTAAATTACATTTGATTACAGATCTTTTATTATACCATTGTATTATTTTTTTCTACACTGATTATTTTTCAGATTGTATTACAGATCGGTGAAGAAGACCATGGAATGATCTTTGTCAAAGCTGCAAATAAAAAACAAGCGATGTGTCCACTTAAATATCTCAACGAAGTTTGACAACAACAGCATTCAAACAATTTACAACCACCGCAATATATGTGTTCCTTTATATTCACACCAGTTTTATAAGCAGGTCATTCAGTATTGATATTCTTGGGAGTTCATATGTGCTGAAGCAGGGTTACGATTTTTATCAGATAAGATTTTGTTCAAGTCTTGACAAATTAGGTTCCCTGAAACTATGCTATACATCTGCAGTAGTCCTGTATGAACACAAGTTTTTATGTACGGCTATGATCACTCTTCACGTTTTTTACAAGGAGGGTCAGAAACTTTTGAAAGGCTGATTTTATGGAGGGAAGTGGTCCTGTTTTTTTGTAAAATTTAAAGAAAAAACATCTGAAGGAAGAAGAATTCTAAAGTCTGTCATGGATCTCTCGCTGTATTTTTACTTTTTATAACATATTCTCTTAGAAATGAGATTGTGATAGAATCAAATATCCTAAAATTAGAAACTAAATTACCCACAATTCTTTGTCCTGCTTGAGCTGTTTATTTTACTGACAATAGCACCAGTCTTATGTTTCCATGGTTACCATTCCCTGTTCTGTTATAATCACTGCTTCTGAAAAAAGAATCTGATTTCTCCACTAGAAGCTTCATTTGTATATACTCTTTCAAGTCATTTTTGAGTAACTTTTTAGCACATTAAATCTTAAAAATTTAATTTTTTTCACAGCTGAGTATTTAAGCTCTTGTACAATATACCTATATAGCATTGTCTTTGGGACATATTTTACTCTACCTCACTGAATTTGTTACACTTTTTTTTTATTTTACTAAAAGCTCATTTCATTGTCAACAACAATATGTGATTAACTTTTAACCAATGGCTCAGTGATCATAAAAAAATGTGAAAACATCAGCATTAAATTTTGCAGATTATTTTGGACATTAAGTAAATTTTAAAAGATCGTCACTGAAATATTTGATGTAGTTAATTGATGTAATTCGGGCTGAAATTTTTTCTAGGTGGTCATCTTGCTGAATTATTTTCCAAAACCTAGATCTCGGACAAAGTCTAACAATGTAACTGCAAACGAGATCTCCGACAAAGTCTAACAATGTTACTGCAAAAGAGATCTCCAACAACATCTAACAATGTTACTGCAAAAGAGATCTCGGACAAAGTCTAACAATGTTACTGCAAAAGAGATCTCCAACAAAGTCTAACAATGTTACTGCAAACGAGATCTCCGACAAAGTCTAACAATGTTACTGCAAAAGAGATCTCCAACAAAGTCTAACAATGTTACTGCAAAAGAATATTAGTCACAATAGGTTTCGAAGTAAGTTTCTCAAATTAATCTAAAACACCCCTATTACTGATACACTGTGGAAATACACATTTAAATATTTTCAGAATTTTGTTTGAAGATCGCATGTATAACTAAAGAAACAAATTGTGACAAAAAAAAATTCTACAAATATCCATTTAAACAATTAGCTGCTGCAAAACAAACTACTTATTTCAGGAAATTTTCAAAATTTAAATGAGTTGCCTCCCATCAACAATCTGTTTGTTTTTTTATTATACAGATTTATGATTATAAATGGTTAAAAAAAATGTTCTATTGTCAGGTTGCTGTCTTTTTGAGAAAATTTGTTTTATTAACTTTATATGATTTATGCTAAAGGAGGGAAACATCTCTTACATTTTTATGCACTGCCTATTATAGACAGGAACATTAGGTTTACAGGGCAGTGTATCATACAGTCAGTTTCTCTGTTTGTCTGTCCCATACCAGCTCTTTATTAAGGGAGTTTACCATGTGTGATCACATCAACTTGACACTTTATTCACATGTTTATTATTATGTGTTCTTTATAAATATATGCCAAATAAGGGTTTTTACCCAGATTTTGCAGTTCACTATACATGGAAATGTGATAGTGTGAGTGGGTCATGGTGTCCTATGGACACATATTCATTGTTTTACATTTTATTCATAATCATATAAAACACATTTTTTTTGCACACATTCATTTCACATGAAAGTATGATTAAATGTTTTTTCACAATACCCTAATATGAGCTTCTATATAATGTGATGGTAGTATAAGATGGTGTGTAATGATCTATATAAATACTACTTATAAGTTCTGATTGATTCTTCATGCAACATTTTTTCTCAAGCAAAAGTTCTGTTTGTTTAACATATGTTATTCTCGAAAACAAAAGTATTAATCTGTATGTAGATTTTGTTGATTTTAAGCATGTTGACTTAGTCCAAAGGGAAATAACTCAAATTTACATGAATAGTGCTAAAAAAAAACATCAAGTCACTTTGTGAAAAACGTGATTTACGCTATGGAGATATTTGAAAATCTAAATATACAGTGTTTATTTAAAGGTAAAATACTTATTAAAACTTTTTTCCAGTATTGAGGCAAATGTCAAAATACACAGGTACAATTATGAATTATTTCCCTTTATATTGATGAAATTAACAATTTAAATTTCAAAAACATCCGAGGTAACTTTAATATGAGTTTTATTTGATCTGTTGGAAATTGATGAGAATTGTTAGGTCTGCCTGTAAAGAATTCAATTAAATTGGTTGTCATTTTCCAAGCTATCTCTTTATTTTTGTTGATTAAAAGTACATTCCATACATTATATAAGCAGTGATCCAAAACACTTCTTTTTGGTACGTCTCAACATATTCTTAATGCTGTACCATATGAACTCATGTGCTGTACCATATCTGAGACTACTGTGTGTTATAGTAGTCTCAGACCATATGAACTCATGATTTATTTGTTTTTTTTTATTTTTATTACTTCGGGGGATGTTATTTCACTTTTTTATTGTTTTTTTATTCTGGGACATATATGTCTGATTCTTAGGTAGACAATTATTATCAAAATATTGTTATCTGCCAATATTGATTAAACTTGATAATTTCCTCACATGTTTTTACATTGTAATTGTTGATATTGTTACCCCTGACAACTTTTTTAAATTTGTTTGTTAACCCTAACGTGCCAACAATAAACATGGAATTAACATTTTTATCTGTTTGTGTTTTCCATATAAAAATAAGAAGATGTGGTATGATTGCCAATGAGAAAACTTTCCACCAGAGACCAGATGACAAAGAAGTAAGCAACTACGAGTCTTGTTTTGTTATTGTCATCCATATTATTGGTACACTTAATTAATCCTCAGCTCCTTGAAAACAGCTAGACAGAATTGAACAAAACTTGCCAAACAGATAATGTTGTATACCTGCTGTTCTAAATTTTGGGTGTTTTTCATACTAAAACATAGGCTTAGCAATGTCTACTTATAATCAGTTAAATAACCCACCAATGCCATGAAAACAGCCAGACAGAATTCCACTAAAACTTCAACAGATTCTCCTATAGGACATGAAGTTGTGTACCTGCTATTTAAATTGATCAGACACTGATTTTAAATGTTTCCCATACCAAAATAGACTCGGGTCATTTCTGCTAATATTATTCAGGTAAATCAGGTGACACCAGTCTTCCTTGGAAAGCATAACACATTTTGTTAAATGCAATCAAGCTTATTTTTTTCTCAATTGTAGAATAGAAAACAGATAGTAAAGGAAAATCAAGAACATTTAAACTTTAAGAAACAAGCTCAAGTTTTGATATGAATTTATCCAGTTGTTTCAGAGGGCTCCACCTAAAAAGGCGTCTTTTTCTCTCCAATTTCCAGCAACTCATGAACATGTCCTTCAAGCAGGGTCCATTGGACCTTGTTTAGCCCTTTGGTCTCGAGTGGATATTTGTCTCATTACTACATCTCAATATTTTTATACCAAAAGAAGTTGACCTATTGCCTGTAGTATTTGTGAAACTAACAATCACAATTACTCTTAAGTTGTTGACAAAGCAACCATGAAAATTTGGTCAAGATTAGATGAACCCTGTTTGACAGTCATGTATACTTTACAATCACCTTACAAAGAAAACTTTAATGTTGATTATTGATCAATGATATGAGGTCAAGGTCAGTGGAACCCTTTTGATGCTGTGTCTATTCAACAGTGATTTCAAAGAGCAAATATACTGTAATTGACCTATTGCTTATAGTATCTGAGAAACAGACTTTGTGGGCTGGTGCTGACAACATAGAGGTTGTCTAACCTCGAATAAAAACAAAGAAATCATGTAGTCCAAATTATTTAATAAGTTCACACACATATTCTAACAGTTTTCAGTAAAAAAGTCATAAAATACATTTATACTGAACACATAAATTTAATGGCAAATAAGTCAGCTGCAATATGAGAAAAATCTCCAAACATGACTAAGATAGTTCAAACAACGAATTGCAATGAAGTTTGTCATTACTTATAAACAAACAACGCTATACTGTGTATGGAAAAAAGTAAACATTTCTTATTTTGTAGAAAATTATTTATCACTAAATTCAGTTTTTGAAACTGTAAACCAAATGAAAGCTGATGAAATTTTTAATTTCAACAGTTCAGATAAATGTTTTGAATTAAATTTTAAACCAGTATGAATGTAGTACTGTCAAAATAGAGAATTTCAACAGAAATGTTTGGACAGGGTGTATATATATATAAGAACAAGCACTATTAGTTTGTTTTTGTTCATCGTAAATATTTACAAAATTAAAACACAATAAATTCTGTACCAGATATACATCATAAAAACAATAATTCTGTAGCAGATATACATCACACAACAAATATCTAAAAATAGATCACACTGCAGTGTTTAGACTTTCTACTTCCCGTCCACTTCAAACTTGCAAAATTGACAGAAATATAGTGAAAAAACATTGACAAAAGTCATCTAACATCTTCTTTTTAACTTAGAAATCTACTTTTTCAGGATAAGTTAATTAATCACTTTTTTCCAGGTTATTTACATTATTTTTGCTCAAAAATAACAATTTTTACAACAGTAAGAATAATTAATGCTTAAAAAGGCCAAGATGCAAAATGTTCACCAAAAGAATTTTTGGGAGGGGAGATAATTTCACAGAGCAGCTAGACGGACTTGTAAAAGTAAATTTCAACCATCCTAGATCCCTTACATACCGAAGCTAGTTCTGTAAAATATAAATTGAGCTCCACAAGGGCAATAATCATATTAATCATAACTGTACTTATAAATATAATGAATTCCCAGAATTCGCTGTTAACAATTGCAATTAATTACTTCAATGTTGCACCATTATTTCCTACAATTCTCTAACATAATATTTAGAAAATAGCTTACAATTCTTCTCAACATTCACACATATGTATTCTTAATTGTATTTGTAAATGATCATTTTAAAAGTTTTTATTTCCTGGAATTTCTAAAATCAATTCAAATTTTTTTTGCACCGATGTTATTTAAAATATAAATTCAGAAAAATTTCTCTATGCAGTTTTTCAATATATATATATCTACAGAAATTTCAGGACAACATGTTATTTTTTTATAATAATTTGCACCCTGTAACAATACTTTGACCAGTTTGTTAAATATGAAATTCAATAAAAAAAAAATTCCAAATACAACATATATAAGCCAAACCAAATTTAGCTGGTATTTCTGACTGTTTATTAATGATTTTCATCTCTCAATCCTGCAGTTATTCAGTGAAAACAAATATTTAATACCCCTCAATCTGAATCGACATTTTACACAATCATGACAATGTTCAAATGAAAGAATTGTTTTAAATCTAGTATCTCCACAACATGAATCCCTGCATGTTCAATAATATAAATCACATAAAAAAACTCTAAAATCTTCTAATTTCAAAAAGATTTATATGTATAAGAAAATTATTTCTATCAAAGTATATACAAAATTATACATGTATACAAAAATTTGACTGAACACTCCCGGTACTGAACACTTCTATCACCTGACTTAGAAATGTAAAAAAATATTTTACAAACATTTACACTCCATAATCGACAAAATATATACACCATTAACAACATTAACAATTTATAAGATATTTTGCCCTATAAATATTGTGTATACTAAAATGAGATCCATTGTTATGAATTTGATGGTAGGGTTCAATGATAAATGCATTATATAATGGTTCCCCTTTTACATGTCTTCAGAAGTAGAATATGTATCGACTTACAAATTTGGTGGCCTCTGTTTAGGAACTTATAAAACGCCCTCTAGTAGTGCAATTAGTTTAGCAGAAGAAAATATTTATTTCAACTATAGATCCTAAAGGCAAAATTCCATTTCAACTTGCTATGAATTCATTTATTTCATTGGTAACAATCTCAACAGCTTGAGGATTTTAAAAATTTTTTATTGGATACTTGATTTTGTTTTTTTTAACAGTTTCTGCATACAAGATAACGTTCTCATGGGTCTATAGATATATAAGAAGATGTGGTATGAGTGCCAATGAGACAACTCTCCATCCAAGTCAAAATTTATAAAAGTAAACCATTATAGGTCAAAAGTACGGTCTTCAACACGGAGCCTTGGCTATGCACTTTTATTAAATAACATATAAAATACATATTCTTGGATGAAAGGAAAGCATTTTTTACACAGACAAAGGTTCCCTAAAACAGACCCCAGTCTTATTTCTACAGCTATTTATAACAAATGTTAAGGTATTGAACCCCAAATAATCCCCAGTTTTAAATCTACTTATAAAAGAGGTTGCAGAGGTGAACCCAGTCATATATCTAGTAATAACACTATATGTATAAGCTGCCTGGTGAGAGCTATTCTGACAAATCAATAAATATAAAAAATATAAAATATACAACATTCACTCAAGGGAGCTAACTGTGGAAGCTTTATGAGCTTTTTCAAATACATGTAGCAATATTAACAGCAGGCTAATGTGGGTTAAAAAGGCAAAAAGTTATTAGTTCAAAATTTTATTTATGAACAAAGATTGTTTTCCCATTTCTAAATTAACGAGGTTTGATTCTCAAGGATAGGGATTCTTACCCCTACGTGCACATTGACAGTGTTTCTGCATCCAAGCAATATATACAGGCTTAATAAAACAAAACTTCACTAGAAGGTCATATTGAGATCAAACCTAATACATCCTTAATGGATATGTTGTGCTAAGTTTATGATGTAATAATATTTAAACGGAAAATCTTTCTTTAATAACAGTAACAGATTGTGAATAAATGTATTCTCTGTTTTATTAATATGCCGTTTTTATAACTGTGAAAAATGTCACTAGACTAATATTGTATCCATTTGATTTCTTATTCAAAATTTAAGAATACCTATTGAAAATAACCTGGTTGGCATTAATTTAGATTTCTCAATTTTACAAAAATCAGAAATTGGCACAATTTCACTTCACCATTTATATTACTATAATATGCAAATTTGACCTATTCTTACTGGTGAAAAAAATATTGATACAGTTTTTAGTAATAAAGCAACCACAGAAAATAAATTAAAATAAGCCATTATAAATATTTGCTAATCTTTTATCTTTACTGAAAATTATGCAAAGCACACATAACTGATTTATTCAATACATTAATATTTTACAGACTATAGAATTCATTTGTCTTTAACAATTTTAAACATCTCAAAAGTGTTATTTTACTATAACCTTTGAAATACACAGTCATCTATGAAATAACAATTTAAAATCAACAATGAGTTCGTTGTAAATGACTGCTCCCTTGGTTAACATGGAATGGTTGTATGAACACTTTATGGTGACTAGATTTGTGCTGATAACACATAGGACGGTATTTGAGAGGAATTCCCAGAAGTCATTGGTGATGCTGTACAGGCAAAATTTCCCTGATATACTGCTCCATTGGCTGAAAAATAAATGTAGATGATAAGTTAAACATGAAGCTGAAGAAAATATTTTGAGTGAAAACAAAGCAACATCATGCCATTAACTTAAAAATATTAGCCTGTTGTGAACAATATATTTTAAATAAAAAAATCTTATCAACAAAGAATGTTTGCCCATCATTTAAAATTTTTGTGTAGTAAATGTCAAGATTTTGTTCCCATTGAGATCTTTACATGAATTTTTCCTTTAACAATCTAGTACACCATTATAAACCATATGACATGGACACTTTAGGCTTTCTAGAAACTCACTTCCGAAGGCCTGAATCTGATTTGAAAATAACAATTGAATACAAATTATTTCCCTTGTTCGTAAGTATACTGGTCAACATAATGGTCAGAAGTGAATTAGAATGTGTATACATACGAAGCAATTTAAATCAATATCGGTTTGTATGTGGCCTTTGATATTTTCAATATATTCCCTTTTCTTACCTAATGATATCTTTACAGGAATGGTAGCGGTGGACGCTGACAGAGTCACATGACTTGTAGAAAGTGTTGGTGTGGTCATTGGTAAATCTACAACATTGATTTCTCCCGAATCATCCCAAAGTCCATTCTGAGATATAAAGCATAATCATCATATATAAAGATCAAGTAAGCACTGTTCTCACTAAAAATTGTTGAAGGCCATTGTAAGTCCAACAGTAAGAAGATGACATTTTATTGCTATATGGTTTATTATGTCAGTCCTCATGACAAAATAGAGCAAGGAAATGACATCAAGTTTAGATTTTTTTTAAACTTTGACTTAAAATAATGATATAGTGACAACCCAGAGTAAGAGGATAATAACCTCATACGTATCTCTGATTATCAAACACAGTTTTTTTTATAATTTTTAACGATTTACATTAAATCACCACACATGAAATCCCATTACTACCGTCATTTTTTTGGTGTTTCTGAAAAAATTTCTGTAATTTGTAACATTAACTGTAGACTAATATCTGTGAGTAACTTGTAACCTTACCTGTAGACTAATATCTGTAAGAGAGTGGTCCATTTGCATGCTGCCGTCTATTGTGGGTATGTCATTTATCAGGTATTCAGCTGTCTCTTTAGGTGTGTGAGGCGTGGAACATCGTGGACTAGGTGGATCACCACCAACAGGCCCAGCTTTACCAGCTTCTATTAATTCTAATTTTTCTGAAAAATTTAAAGGTTACTTTTTTTATTTAAACTTCTATTATCCCCCTATTATTTAATATATTTACCACTCCTACATGTTTTACACTGTAAGAAGATACATTATTTCATTTGTAATTGGTAACTTTTCATCAAAACATTCAGAGGTAAAACAAGCCCATAATATTTCAAGTTGATGGTTCGCAAAATCTTCTTGACATTTTCTTAGACATAACATTTTTTGTTTATAGAACTTCCTGTCGCACCTGTCTGAGGGATGTCTGCGGGTCAGAAACAAAAGTTCTTATTGACATCATATATTGAGGAATAAATCAGGCTTTTGTCTTAATTTACCCTAAACATACAATAATTCCTACATGTGTGACAGAGATTTTGCAATTTCCAATGTCCTGACAACTTGATTTTGGACAGTTTTGTCAAAACATTGACAAAATAGTCATCAAAAATAGTATTTGTAGTCTCCTTAGTGGACACAAAAGTAATTTCATCAATATTATTTTTGTCAGGTAATAAATTGTTTGAGGGTCAGCAGACAAACATAGGATATGTCTAGAGGCAGGAAACAGATCCATATTTTTTTAGCATTAGAGGCAAATTTATTTCAAGTGAGATATAGCTTATTCCTTGATATTGAGGTTTTTCCAGAGTTTTCAGGTCGTAAAAAACACAAAATTCAACAAAACTTTGCATATTTGAAAATGATGAAGGGATATTGATTGATGTTGAAATTGTTCCACATGACGTGAAAAAGTTTGCATACAACACCTATTTAAACTTGAATTTAGAATTCATCAGGCTGATTAAAATGTAGGAGGTAGAGCACTTGAAATTCACAAGCTTTTATTTATTCCTTATCAGGGATTCTAAGTCTCACACTAATTCACAGTATTAGCATGAGACTCGCACATTTTCATGCTTAAGTGGCAGCATTTTCCTTTGATCTCTACAATTTTTGCCAAATCTCACCATTTGCATCATGAAAACTTGGCAGTACTGCCTTTTATAATTGACAGAGAATAAATTCATGAAGTAGAAGATCTTAATTTGTCCATTTTATTTATTTTTTTATTTTTCTGGGGGGTTGGGTCTATGCTTCTTTGTTCCTAATAAAAATGTAAAGTATTAAAAACTTTTTATCTATTTGAATTCTGATACAATCTTTATTCAAAAGAAAAATAAATATAAATATTTACATTCCTGGTCGACACTTGTCTATTGGAAACCTGTGAATTAATGTAAACAAAGGCTTTGTCCAATGAAAACCTTTGTATTATTTTTATCTAAGAAGTGTCAAACTCCATCTGTCAGTTGTACTACCATTGTTATACCTGTCCTGATTAAATGGGGTTACCAGTGGGGATTTAATTGATCCAACAAAATTATGGTTTTCTTTTAAATCATTTCACTGGTTACAGTTTAAGTTTTTGCCTTGTATAATACATTTTGTTGTAGTACTTCAATTGTATACTCTTAAAATTGAATTATATATTTTTACACATCTTTTTTTATTTTTTGTAATAGAAAACTATAACTTTTTATATTTTTTATCACGTTTATAATATAGAATATTAAAATAAAATTTAGACCAAATAATCTAAACAAAATTATTTAATAACAGTATTTTCATGATATCATAAAATAATCATTGTGTCTACATATACATCAAAGTACGTATTTACCTATCAATTAAACCCTCATTAATTACAACATTCCATGGGAGAATTTGTGTTCTTTGTCCAGATAGAGTTATATCCCTTTAGGCATATCTAATCATTTAATCAGATCAATATTTTCTCTTTGATGTCTATCTTAACTGTTTGAAGTGTAAAATACCTAACACTCTTGTCCACATAATACTTAATAAGACCAATTAATATTAAAATCACAGGAAATATTATCATGTTTCAAAAATTCAAAATAAGACTTTTTGTTCCCATAAAATAAATCTTCTCTACAAAATTTTGTCTGCAGCAAACTATGGATTTATAATACATACCTGGCATTGACATACTCAGTTTAATGGCTTCCAAATCTTTCTTTCTATGTTTAGCTATTTCATCTTCCATCTTTTCAATCTTTTCAGGGTTAAGAGCCCACAAACAACCTTTCTTGGCATTCCCATTTAACTTGGGGGTATCAACTTTAGCAAAGCACTTATTAAGGGATAGATTGTGACGTACAGAATTCTGAAACAAAATAAATTAGAAACTCAATATAACTTCTTAATTTAGCACCATATATGTGAATAAGTTATATCAATTAAACTTTGCTTGTCTCGTTTTTCTTTCTTAAAAAATCAAACCTCATTCTAAAAAGTTATGGTTATTCTAGGACTATTATACTTATTACAATAGTCCCAAGTTTATTTGATTTCTCTTGTATTTTTTCTATTTGTGAGTTGATATTTTGTTTTATATATAATTATAATATTATATTAATATAAAATCATGGAACATCTTAAAACTATTGGCTCCTTTATAAGACAGTCATTAGAAATGAGGGCAGAAGTCTTATAATTTTATGCCATGTATTCATTTATAATAGCTACAATTGTTATTTCGTTACTATATTATGATTGTTTGTTTTGTTTAGTCACAACCTAAATAAGTTTACATGACAATAAAGATATACATTATAATATAAAATAACAACTCGTTTTTTTTATAATCATCAATTGAGAATAATCACAATACTAATTTCCCACAATGTTAACAACTTAATCTTCTTCGTGACCCTGGAAACCCCTCAGGGAACCCCATTAGTATATATAAATAATCTGACTAGATCTATAAATAAACTTGATTTATGAAATCCTTTGTGTACTAAGCTAATACTTTTTACTATACTAGTGTTCCAATGAGTAATTTTACACAATAAAATGAATGATAAAATGACAAAGTGATATTTGAAATTTGCACCTGTAGTTTAAAACCTAGCCATGTGACAATGATTGACCAATCAATTCAAATATTTATTACACCTGTTCTACATGTTAATTGACTTCTGTATAGACTTACCTTCCAACCATCTGGGGCTGTTTTAAAGTAGGGGAAATGGGTTCTGAAAGAAATAAATAAATCATATTAATTATTAGACTATTATCCAAAAACAAATACAAGGCCATGCAAAAAGGCAGGTGCTTAAATGCTTAAGGGAATAAATGGAGCAAGTGTTAAACATCAAGGTTGGGAAAATTTATATAAAAAGGGTATGTAAAGGAAAATTGAGACAACTTTGTACTGCACTGTTTATATAAAACTTGATATGATGACCAATAAGCAATAAAAAATCCATGCAGAATACTAATAATTCTAAATAAATTAGTATTGATGAACTACAAAAAAAATAACCATATGAGTGTTTGTATTGCTTGACCCTTATGGGTGTAATTTTGCAATAAAGATTATATATTATCATATCATTATAAAGTACAAAATAAAGTCAGTACAGTTTTTTTAAAGGAATTTGTTTCCTTCTGTTTTCACATGAATTCTTTCTACATGTAGTATATATGTATATGTAAGAAATGACATAATAAACATTACCACAAAAACAAACCAACCAAATCAAATTTGATTTCTATATTCATAAGTATTATGAATGATTTTAACTTAAGTTTAGGGACTATAATACCTATAAACCAGTTTGATCATCAGACCACAACAATCCAATCAACAATGTATTATAAAACTGTCAAGTGTTAATTAGATTAGTGGAGATAATCTAATTAAATTGTAAGTGACCTGTCAAACTTTGACAGCAACAGAGTTTTATCACATGTATATAATAACATTCCACAGAATTACTCATGTGGAAAATTCATTCACATACATACCCTTAAAGTACATATGGAAAATTTAATTCACTGTCATGCTTCCCCCTTATGTGAAATTCAAATTGTATCTAATCAAATCTTATTACTGTAAATAGCGAAATTATTGTGCACATTTATTATTGCGAATTTCAAAGAATGGACAAGAATGCGAGTTTAATTATTGCGATTTAAAAAAAAATCTGCATAAAGATTGTCTTTAAGATACCAAAATGTGAGTTCTTATTATTGCGTTACTCACCCTGTCGCAATATTTGCATTATTAAATTAAAACCTCGCAATAATTTCTGAATTTACAATAAATAAGAGATAAGTTTAATACATAACTTATAATGCATGTATACTAGTTTTAACAGGTTGGGTACAAAACATTATACATAAGATGTTAATTACTGGCATTATACAATGATGGTATGAATTGTGAATTTTTTATTCAAAGGTTCTCCTACACCATGTAATCAACGTCATGTGTATGTTTATAAGTTAACTGAATTATATTTTTATAACATATGGTTTAGCATATTAATTACACCTTATGAAAGAATCCTGGGTTTTGATTGGTTGATAGCCAGTGTATTTTTCACCAATTTACTTTTATCAAATGAATATCGTTCATATTTAACAGGGCCGGGGTATATGCAAAAAGTATATGCCTTTCTAACCATCTCTGCCGTGGTATTTGCCAAAAAATACTCTATCCGACTGGACGCTAGTAATGTCACGATCATCAATGGGTTTTGTACATTAACATTCGGTGCAATTAAACAGATATAGCATGTTCTTGAGGGGTATTTGCGAAAAATACCAGTCTTGAGAATGAATTTCCCTCGCCTTACGGCTCGCGAAATTTAACATTCTCTCGACTGGTATTTTTCGCAATTACCCCTCCTTAATTAACATGATATATCTGTTCAATATATAGGTAAAGGCTAGGTGTTGTGTGCATGTTGGTCAAATGCCATCAAACTTGTGCCTGAACAATGCCAAACTTCATTTGTATCTGTTTACTGTTGTCTTTTTTTAATACATCCATTTTCTTGGAGAAGTAAGATACATTGTTGTATTGTCACATCATCTGACTGTTATACCGCATACTGTTTTTACATACAGCATGTTTTACATTCTATATCACAGTCAAAATTCTTTGAAGGGGTAAAATTAAAATTCTGTAAAAAATACCAAGTTTGTGTTAAAAAAAAATTCAACTTCAGTTTACCAAATAAATGAATTGCTGAGATGTACAACCATGTATGGCAATGGTTATCTAACAACTGCAGACCAAGGGTACTATTTCATAAAGTACTAATATTATAGCAAGAATAAATGTCCATTTATGTATCTGATGTGTTATGAGTACATGCACATATTCTAGATTTAAAGTAAAATAAGATCCAAGATTGTTAAATTTAACCTTAAAATATAGCACTTACATCATAAAGTTGTAGATTTCACTGACAGGCAAACTTCCATTCTTACTATTCTTCAGCGCCATTGAGATTAAACAGCTATACGAATAAACAGGTTTAGGGAAGACTTTATCAACAGAGTCACTAGAATTTGGCACATTTGGAATATTTTGACCGCTGGATGATGAATATGAGAAATTATTTGGTTGTGTCGTACTAATTCCATTATGTAAATGCTTGACCAGGACGGGAGATCTTTGAGATGGTGAACCTTCTTGCTGTTTGAAATTCTGCACATGGGTAATCGTGTTATTGTTTATATTTACATTTGAATGCGATAGGGTGAAGTTACGTTGTGATCCAGCGGGTTGAATCTTTACAAAACTTCGTACATTGTCTGTTTGAGTAGACGGATGTTGAAAATGGGTGTTTGGCACTTGGTGTACAACCACATCGTCTTCTGTTGCTTCTACTTTAACTGTTACTGGTTCTGGTTGTGTGACCCTTCTGAAAGGTCGTACAAATGTCTGTTGTAGCACATTCTGTGGATTAACTAACAAATTTGGGTTATTGTTTTCTATTTCAAATGAATTGTCCAATAAGTTTTGATTGAATTTTGTGACATCTTCGCACTGAAAGTTTTGAATCCATTCATCTATTGTAGCACTAGTGTCAAAATTAAAACCATGATTGCTACTTTCAGTTCCAGATGAAAGATAATTATCAAAAGTAAATTTGTCTGATCCTTGGAGAATTTTTTCCATCTCCTTCTGTAGATCATTGTCCAAAGAAACCGAATCCAGAAAATCCATGTCATTCACATTAGGGTAAGGCATACTTGCCATCATTCTGGCTAATTTATATTCAGCAGAGTTTCTACAAAAGACAACACAATGATATAATGATGTAATAAAGACAATTTATATATTTTCAACATGTTTCACCAAATTTCTCAAGAAGACAAAAACATAAAACTATATTTTTAAATAATATGGAAAAAATGTGCATGTCCAGATTCTAAGTAATATTGTCTAACAATGACAATTGTATATCTATAACAGAATTTAAGTTACAAAAACATGCAATATTGAAATAAACCTAGAAGTCATTTTGTAAAACACACGATGCAAACCTGTGAACTTATTTATATTTTCAGTGTCCTGTCACTAAGAAGAAAATTAAAAAGTAGAAGATACCAGTATCGAAAGGGGCTACAAATCAAAATCCTGAGGACAATACACACACATGACAAAATAACTACAACTTTAGGCAATACAAACCCTTATCTAAATATTTAAAATTTCCAACAATGGTTTGGATTTGAGGAGAGGGTAGACTTGAACCCTTTCACGGGTTCGGAAATATTTGGTTTGCAACTTTCTGAATATAATTTGTATATATATGCACTATTTTGATATTTCTGGTTTCAAAATTTATACATGTATCATTGTAATTTGTATTTTCTGACAGTGAAAGAATTACTATTTACACCTTGTGTATTTTGTGTAACAATACATTGACAATGTTGAAATCATTTTACTTTGTTGTTCCCGATACAAAATATTATATGCTTCATCATTTTCAAGCAAAATTTGAATGGAATGAGCGGTAGACATTTTTTTTGTGGTTGTAAATATTTAGGTCATATAGTAAAATTTTTGGCTGAGCTCCAAAATAACATTTCATCGAAAACAATAATGCAAAAATTATGGAATTATGTGTAAGTATTACCTGACTTGATGACTGTCACTTTTGGTCTTTAGTTGTGTATTCCAGTATTTCCCAAAAACATGCAAAAATCCAGGAAGTAAAGACACAGGTGAAAAAAAATGTCGGATCCACGTTCAACCCACTGGACAAAGAACAGTAATAGATTCAAATTACTCAGCTACGATTGGTTGTCCTTTATGAGAAAATTTTAAATCACTACACTCTGATTGGTTAATCCATGGAAACACTAGCCACAATGTTCCAAATATGGAAAATAAATCATCGAAAGAGCAGGTGCTTGTGCATTAATTACCGTGCGAAAACAATGGCAACGTTACCAAATGTTTACAAATATTCAAAAACATAGCATACGTTAACTTTCGCTGTTATCTTAGCGATTAACAAAATCCAATTAAAAAAGGGACTTCAGTGCACTATATTTTGTAGTGCGAATGAATACGATTTGTAAAATCTTACTATTAAGGCTCCTCGTGGGGAATAATTATGACAGCTCATTCATGATATAATTAACGGCTGAGTAGTTCTGATCAGATTAGTATTAGTAAAACTGGCATAGTGACATTGAATAAATATCATAAAGACTCTTGATTTGTGTCAGAATAGTATGCATGTAATAATACTTATATCAATTAATCATGAATCTTTATTGTGCCTTTTGTTTTTAAAAAGGACAAATAATAAGCAAAAAAAAAAGAAAGAAGGAAAACTGAGGGAAGAGAGTGTGAAAAGGGTTCAATAAAAAATAATTTTATATCATGTGAATTGATATTGTTGCTTTTATTTTTTTAAATGAGGAGATTTGATAATATATACAAGGATTTCTAGTATATAGTCTTACTATATAAATCCTTGATATATACTTTGACTTACAAAAAATCAGTCATTTCTTTATTGTTAAAAGAAATATCATAAACAAATCATCACCTCTCTTCTTGATAATGCTAAAATTGAATTATAGATGGATAGCATTTCTTTTACCATATGCCCTCTACTTCAAAATTTAAATTACAGAACTAGGAATTAAATGGGGGCCTGAAACAAATTGAAAAATAGATAGATATATCTGGGACTAATACATGATATACCGGTAATGGTTCAAGGAAGAACAAATTGAGTGGCTGAAAAAAAAGGTAAAACAACTAAAAAACCTAACTCCAAGGAAAATTCAAATCAGAAAGTCCCTTACAAAATGACAAAACCAAAAGCTCAAACACATCAAACAAATGGAAAACAACTGTCATATTCCTGAATTATACTTTTCACTACATTCAGAAGCAGATTTAGGGGAAGGAAAAGGGAGGGGGATTTGAAGCTTCATATATGATAAATGCACAGGCTTTTTACAGGTATCGTCCCAGAGGTCCACTTTTTAAAAATCCTGGATCTGCATGTGGTATTGCAATGCTTTAGGTTCACATTAAATCAAAACAATAAAATAAATGGAAATCTTACAAAAATCCTTCAAAAGTATAATTTTACATAGACAAATGGGTGCATAAAAACTGGAAAGAAAATATTAAATGAAATCATCTAAAAAGTTATAAATATTCACTCAGGTTTAAGTTTGAAAAATGGAGTTCTTCTAAAAATGACACAAATTGCTTAACATTGACATATAATATTTGTGTGGTGGCATGCAATAACAGAATAATGATCTATATAAACAGTGGTGCAAAAGAAACCATCATAAATTGACTGAAATCTATGTGTCTGAAGATATGTCTAATTCAGTCATCAAATGCTCCTTGTTGTCATCTAATGCTCCCTGTTGTCATCTAATGCTCCCTGTTGTATCAAGCTTTTAATACTCAAATTTATTTAACATTTGAACTAAGTATCTTCTAACAGCACATATAACAATCATAACGAGTATAGGTATTTTGGGGTTTTGCAGTTAACAGGTTCTGTTATCTTTGTTTGGTTTTGTTAGTTTACTGTACTGAACATCTTTTATACATATCATTTCTAGCTTTGAACACTTTTAGGACCAATATCTGCTGCAGAATGCCTGACTTTAAGGGGAATGAAATACTCAATGAATCAGGATTTACCATTGGAACAACAATGAATGATTAACTGTCTCCAAGTCCCAACTGGTTACAAACAATTATGCAAATAAGTTGGGAATAGAGCCAGGTTTTATGGTCTACCAAATAAAATGGCAGGAGATACCAAGGAGGTAATTTGAAAACACCAGGGCAATGAAATGACATGTCAGTCATTTGAGGTGTTCTCAAGTCTTTAGGAATTCATCTAAATTCATTACTTCCCAAAATCAACAAAAGAACACATGAGGTAAATGTTTACACATAAATTAAAATGGAACATTTAACTGCTATAAACTTCTATACAAATCCTTGTATTAATGCATAGTTCAATTATATGTACTTCTTCTCTAGAACACTTATAAGACAGACACAAATATTTTATAGACAAAAAAGTTGACCTATTAAAGCAACTTGGAATACTTTGTAGTCACTGACCCATGAAAATGAGGTCAAAGACGACTGAAAATATGTTGGATGAAAATTTCAGGTCATTACAATAGGGAATGACAAATGTACTTTAAATTCCAGATGTTTTTTTTTTTAATTGATCATACTGGATAATCTATTTAAACAATCCTCATGTGTACAATTAGCAAAATAATGTTTTAGTCCTGACATGGCCATATAGGCACTTTTGAATGAACAAAATGGGCTGAACTTGGTTTTAAGGCACACTAAATCTCCCTCTTATTTGAGACAGTAATTGCATTTTCAATAATGTATTTTGTAACCCAATGGGTTGTAGCTTTAGTATTCACACTTCTGAATGTATGTGACTTTGGTGTTCAAACAGATGAATAGATGTGACTGTGATATTCACACAGCTGAATGTATGTGACTTTGGTGTTCACACAGATGAATAGATGTGACTGTGATATTCACACAGCTGAATGGATGTGACTTTGGTATTCACACAGCTAAATGGATGTGACTTTGGTATTCACACAGCTGAATGGATGTGACTGTGATATTCACACAGCTGAATGGATGTGACTTTGGTATTCACACAGCTGAATGGATGTGACTGTGATATTCACACAGCTGAATGGAAGTGACTGTGGTACATGTATTCACAGAGCAAAATGGATGTGACTGAATTGATATCCTTGTGGTATAAACACAGCTGAATGGATGTGACTGTGGTATTCACACAGCTGAATGGATGTGACTGTTTTATTCACACAATTGAATGGATGTGACTGTGGTATCATAATAACTGAATGGATGTGACTAAGGTATCCACACAGCTGAATGGATGTAACTGTGGTATTCAAACAGCTGAATGGATGTGACTGTGGTATTCACACAGCTGAATGCATGTGACTGTGATATTCACACAGCTGAATGTATGTGACTTTGGTGTTCACACAGATGAATAGATGTGACTGTGATATTCACACAGCTGAATGGATGTGACTTTGGTATTCACACAGCTAAATGGATGTGACTTTGGTATTCACACAGCTGAATGGATGTGACTGTGATATTCACACAGCTGAATGGATGTGACTTTGGTATTCACACAGCTGAATGGATGTGACTGTGGTATTCACACAGCTGAATGGAAGTGACTGTGGTACATGTATTCACAGAGCAAAATGGATGTGACTGAATTGATATCCTTGTGGTATAAACACAGCTGAATGGATGTGACTGTGGTATTCACACAGCTGAATGGATGTGACTGTTTTATTCACACAATTGAATGGATGTGACTGTGGTATCATAATAACTGAATGGATGTGACTAAGGTATCCACACAGCTGAATGGATGTAACTGTGGTATTCAAACAGCTGAATGGATGTGACTGTGGTATTCACACAGCTGAATGCATGTGACTGTGGTATCCACACAGCTGAATGGATGTAACTGTGGTATTCACACAGCTGAATGGATGTGACTGTGGTATTCACACAGCTGTTGGATGTGACTGTGGTATTCACACAGCTGAATGGATGTGACTGTGTTATTCACACAGCTGAACAGATGTGGCTTTGGTATTCACACAGCTCAATGCATGTGACTGTGGTATTCACAAATCTGAAAGGATGTGACTGTGGTATTCACCAATCTGAATGGATGTGACTGTGGTATTCACACAGCTGAATGCATGTGACTGGTATTCACCAATCTGAATGGATGTGACTGTGGTATTCACACAGCTCAATGCATGTGACTGTGGTATTCACAAATCTGAAAGGATGTGACTGTGGTATTCACCAATCTGAATGGATGTGACTGTGGTATTCACACAGCTGAATGCCCGTGACTGGTATTCACCAATCTGAATTGATGTGACTGTGGTATTCACACAGCTGAATGGATGTGACTGTGGTATTCACCAATCTGAATGGATGTGACTGTGGTATTCACACAGCTGAATGCATGTGACTGGTATTCACCAATCTGAATGGATGTGACTGTGGTATTCACACAGCTGAATGGATGTGACTGTGGTATTCACACAGCTGAATGCATGTGACTGTGGAATTCACACAGCTGAATGTATTAGACTGTGGTATTCACACAGCTGAATGCATGTGACTGAAGTATTCACACAGATGAATGGATGTGACTGTGTTATTCACACAGTTGAATGGATGTGACTGTGGTATTCACCAATATAAATGGATGTGACTGTGGTATTCACACAGCTGAATGCATGTGACTGTGGTATTCACACAGCTGAATGGATGTGACTGTGTTATTCACACAATTGAATGGATGTGACTATGGTATTCACCAATCTGAATGGATGTGACTGGTATTCACACAGCTGAATGCATGAGCCTGTGGTATTCACACAGCTGAATGAATGTGACTGTGGTATTCACACAGCTGAATGGATGTGACTGTGGTATTCACTCAGCTGAATGCATGTGACTGTGGTATTCATCAATCTGAATGGATGTGACTGTGGTATTCACACAGATGAATGGATGTGACTGTGGTATTCACACAGCTGAATGGATGTGACTGTGGTATTCACACAGCTGAATGCATGTGACTGTGGTATTCACCAATCTGAATTGATGTGACTGTGGTATTCACACAGCTGAATGCATGTGACTGTGGTATTCACACAGCTGAATGGATGTGACTGTGGTATTCACCAATCTGAATGGATGTGACTGTGGTATTTACACAATTGAATGGATGTGACTGTGGTATTCACCAATCTGAATGTATGTGACTGTGGTATTCACACAGATGAATGAATGTGACTGTGGTATTCACACAGCTGAATGGATGTGACTGTGGTATTCACACAGCTGAATTGATGTGACTGTGTTATTCACACAGCTGAATGGATGTGACTGTGGTATGAACATAACTGAATGGATGTGACTAAGGTATCCACACAGCTGAATGGATGTAGCTGTGGTATTCACACAGCTGAATGGATGTGACTGTGGTATCCACACAGCTGAATGCATGTGGCTGTGGTATTCACTCAGCTGAATGCATGTGACTGTGGTATTCATCAATCTGAATGGATGTGACTGTGGTATTCACACAGCTGAATGGATGTGACTGTGGTATTCACACAGCTGAATGCATGTGACTGTGGTATTCACCAATCCGAATGGATGTGACTGTGGTATTCACACAGCTGAATGCATGTGACTGTGGTATT